TAGCTGCTTCCTTCTGTGTAAGACCTTTCTGTCCTCCTTCTCTCAGACTTGGAGTAACGAGTCATAGAGTAACGAGTCCTGGACGTCCTCGATTGTGTATTGCCTAACCTGAGGCTTCTTCTTTCAGCTTGTGATGGTGTGACTTGTCTGTTACGATCTTCTAAGTGGCGAAGGTGCGCCCTGCTCTTGCCCACCTCTTCTTCCGCTGTCGCTTTGCCCTTTATCTGGCGCTTCATAGTCTCTACGCTAGCCATCATTCTTTTTATTACATCATCTTGCTCCCTTTCGTAATCTTCCAGAACCTGAGGATCCATTCTCCATCTCTGTCTATCAAGGCTTTGAGAGCGGTGTAGACTTGAGCCTCGTCTTTCTCGCGCCTCTCTTGGTGGATTCCGTCGTTAGGGATCTAATTCCGCCATGGGTGGTACATAAGGCAAGCCTTCACGCCTTGCGCTTCCTCCCGGGGTCTGCCCATCAATAGCAGAATATGGTAAGTCTTCGTTATGCGCCATTAATTTCAACTAAAGAGGAAAACTCGATCAAAAGGTTTTGTTCTTTCTGTTTTTCCACAGACGGCGCCAATTGTACTAGCACGAAATAATTCTTCTCATATGATCATGTTGATCAAGTTTGCGCTCCTCCAAACGTCGTCGCTTTACTTCCTGAAAACACAAACGTGAGCTAGCCGGCGGGTGTGTGCCGGAAACCCCTCCGATGCCTAATTTAACAACTAGACAATAGACAATAAGCTCCGTGTATTTGAGAATCAAAGTTGTGATTGTGATACCTGTCCATAGGTCCTGCTATGAGCTTTTATAGACTTGGCCTGGCCCAATCCTAGTAGGATTTTAACTCTCTTTATAAGAGTCCTTCTAGGAATCACACACCCTACTCACTACCAACCAAGTGAGATGGTTTACACAATCCTAGTAGGACTCTACTCTCCTTAGCAGAGTCCTCTTAGGAGTCACACTCCTACTCACTACCAACCAAGTGAGATGGTTTTGCACAATCCTAGTAGGACTCTACTCTCCTTAGTAGAGTCCTCCTAGGAGTCACACTCCTACTCAATGAAGAATGTCTATCATAATAACTGTCTACTTTCCACCAACCAAGTAAGATGGTTACCTCCTTTGTTTAAGCTGCTGCAACCTAACCGAGCTAGATTACCTCGGTCATATACTCAATTAAGTAATGAAGTAGATGGCATTCGGCCGAGCTATACCAAGCCCGACCTTCCTTCTCACCAACACCCTGGCTAACCACCAAGCCCACTTGTTTAGGTAGCTCGGTCCAAAGTACCTCTACCCAGCTTGGAGTTCATACAACATGGGACCGAGCTGCTCGAAGCCCATACCTCGGCCCATAGTTCGGCCCAAACCCGAAACATGAGATGTCTTCTTGGCCTAAGACCGAGCTACACCAACCCTTATCTCGGCCTATTGCGCAGCCTAACTTCCAAGGAAGACTTTTCCTAGCTCGGCCCAATTTGTTTACAAATTACCCTCTCACCATCTAAAAAAAAGTTTTAAATGGGTAATTGGAAACATCACTAACTAATTTAACTGCCACTAGTAGCGGGAATTGGATTGGAGCATGGGTATGCAAGGAAAGGAAGAGCACTGATATAGAATAAAAAATGAGAAAATTAGTGAAACATTTCTCTCAAGTTTTGTATAGTAGGAGAGGTTCGAGCTGATTTTTTTATTATTAATTAAGGTCCTTCAATATTTTTACAGAGAAAATTTGATTCAGAGAAATTTTACCTAACTAAGAGAAATTTCGATCGACTTAATAAAATTTCGATCCCGACCTAGTGAAGTCAGAGATATTTCTCCGTGAAAATTGAAATATATTTGAGTCAAAGCAAATTTCTCTAAGTTGAGTAAAATTTCTATGAATTGAATTTTCTGTGAAATATTGAAAGACCTTAACTATTATCTTTTATCTGATAAAATCTTAATATCGTGGACCTTAAACGAAATTCCCCATAAAAAATTGCCTTTTTTATTTATGGTTTGAATTGATTCAGCTACTAATTATTGATGAGATTAGCCTCCGTTTGCTCCGACGTAATATTTTACATAACAAGTTTTTTTCTTATAAATTGATTTTATGTATAAAAAAATATTTTTATTTTTACTTTTCAGCATGTGGTTGACACTTAAAATAAAAATATTTTATTATCAAAAAAAAAATTTAATTCAATAAAGTGTCATTTATGATTTTTTTTATTGAGCTAAAATACTTATTTAAAAGGGCTAAATGAGTTGAAAACGTAATGAATGAAAATTAACTTTGTAAAAATTAACTTATTGAATTTTTAAAGATACATCATTTTTGAGAAAATAATGCAATAATATTTTTCTTAAAAAATATTTTACTTACTTTTTGTTCAACCAAATAATGAAAAATGAGTAAAATATTTTTGACAAAACATTTTATGTGAAAACAAACGGAGACTTAGATATAAGAATTTTATATGAATATCAAGATTGAAACTATACTAAATTTGTAATTATAATGTAAAATTAATTGTTTGAAACGTTTCATACTTAAGATTATAATTATACAAAAATGATAACATAAATATTAGAGATTCTAAATATTATAATAAAATTTTAACTAAACATTTATATGGGTGTGAGCATCATATAAATATATATATTTTTTTGTATCCCTGACTGTGACAATCCTGTCTCATATTAAGCCATTATTTCATTAATTATACATGTAATTATGTGCTTAATGTGTTTTTTAAAAGCTAATTATGTGTTTTGTAAGGGTTTAGACTCTATATCTGTTCATCGTAGGAAAATTTGTTCTAAATTCTACTAAAAACTGAAATTGAGAGTCATAAAGGCGACAAAATCCGAAATTGATTAATTTATTATAATCAGCATAATTTTTAGAGTCTATTGTGAAATTTAATTAAGAATTGATTCAGACCATATTAATTAGATTAAATTCAATTAATCTAAACTCTAATTACTTAGCTTAAGCTTTGATTAACTAATCAACTAATTGAGCCTATATATATATATTTATATATATGATGTATATGTGTTTAAGCTCCTATTTTTGAGCTCAAATATGAGGGAGTTAGGGTTCGTTTAGAATGTGAATTGGCCTTTTGGGTTTTTGATTATTTTAGCCTTGGGCTAAAAAGTAACCTTGTTTGGGATGAGTTTTTTTAACTTTTTTGACTTTTGTGAGAGAAAAAATGAAATGATTATGGTTTAGATGTGACATTTTGTCTTATTGACTTTTTAGTCTATTTTATTTTTTTGTAGCTATTTTTAGCAAAGAAGCCTCAAACTTTTTCTTCCCAAACGAGGGTTCAGTAGGCTTTGTAAAGATAGAGATACAACTTGAGAAACAAAAGTTTTTTCTAGAGAGCTTAAGGAAGATATTGAACCGCAAGCTTAAAGCTTCATAAATCATCAACTCAAGGTAGGAGTTTTATCTCAAGACCTTTTTGTTTGACTGTTTGTTATCGGGATTAAATCTCTAAGCCGTATTTTGCTTTTGGAATCAAGCTTAATACTTGGACTCACGTGTGTATAAAAGTTGTTTGTTTATGTAAGTTCTCACAGTTCATTAGATAATATATTTAATTATTTATAGGCTTCCGCGAGTGCCGTTTACTATATTACTGTGAAATAAGTGTTTGATAATTTTAAATTACTGACCGGTTACGACACTAAATTTATAAAGAATGGCTTGAGTCATGGCACTGACATTAGCCATATGGCATCCACCTTGACTTGAGGCCCACCCAATGTATCATAAAAACAAAAAAAATATAAACAACAAATAAAAAGTAAAGTAAAGAAAAAGAAGCAGAATGTGACCCGTACTGACCTTGCCCTCATGTGAGGCTTATGCTGTTTATCACACTCTTTAATTGAATTTGAGGGCAATTGATTTGATTCAATTAGAGAGAAGGAGGGGGCGAGGGTACCCTTATAGATTCTATAGTGAGATATTACTTGTAGGACATGTTTGATTAAAAAGATTAGAGTATGAAATTAGAATTATTAATTTGTGGGTCTAATTATTTTATGTTTGTTTTGACATATTATTTTAGAAATATTAATCCAATAGATAGTTAATTCAATAAATTTGTTATTATTAGTAATAGAGTAGATGTGAGATTGTGAATAGCACACTAATTTGATAAGATTATTAATACCTTACTATTAGTCTTGTGGAAACAAACATAGCCGTAGGGGAGAGCAATGGTTGGTGCTTTCATCAATTCAGTGCCCCCAAACAATTCAAAAAAAGAAAAGAAAAAAGGCGTGGTCCATTTTTGAAGAGTGATCAATAGTCAATGAGATTCGAATATGCATTTGAGTTCAGAGTTATGGAAAGAGGAAAATCATCTCACAATATTTATTCATATAAAATTGTGAAAATTTGAAAATTTTTGGAGATTTGGTTCTATTTTAATTATTATTATTATTATTATTATTATTATTGTTATTATTATTATTTAAATTAACGATGTGATAATTAATTAGATTGTGATATTTTGATCAAAGATTTAAATACAAACTTAGGTATATTAAATTATCAATTTTTTTAGCAATCAAAAAAAAATTACTATTGATTTCTTTTAGTAACAAAAATTTAGTGGGAGCCAACTTTGATGTGAGATCAATACTCTCATATCTTATTAATAAAAAAATGGGATCTCAGGTGATTATGGTAAAATTAACCAAATAAATACATTATAAACACAAAAATTGAGTTACATGCATGGATAATAAAAAAATTGATATATTGAGGGCGAGAATTTTTGTGGCTATTTTAGTTACAAAAGATAAAATAGATAATTTTAGTCTCAATAAATAAAACATCACATTTAATTTATAATTATTACCCTCTCCTCTCACAAAAAAAATAAAAAAAATCAAAAAATTAAAAAATTCTTCCTAAATCAACTTTTTTAACCGACGTTAAAATAATAAATAAAAAAAAAATTAAAAAGTGAATCTACTTTCCAAACGGAGGCCGAAGAAAAAGGAAAGGAAAGTGAGGTGGAATGAGCGTGGCAAACGGCGGAGAAGTAGGGTAGGCGGCAGAGGGGGGCGGAGGAGAAGTGAGGAACAGAGCGGCGAGGCTGCCTCGATGGAGTAGGCAAGAGATTCTGGTGTTAATTCAACGGAAGAGAGTGGCGGAGAGCAATTTGGAAGGAGACTACAAGAAGATCAAAGAATGGGAATCGCAGATAACAAGGGAAGACACGACGGAGTCCTTTTGGGTGATAGGGAACGATTCGAGAAGAGATAGGTAGTTGCCCGGATTTTTTGACAGAGAGGTCTACGATATTCTCGACAATGGGACCACCCTCTTCTTCTGTTACTTCCACGCCCCTGCTTCTCCCTCTTGCTCCACCATCTTAGCCTCAGCCTCAGGACGAGGATGATCATCTTCTTAATAATAATAATAAGGAGGAGGAGGAGGAGGAGGAGGACGACGAGGCTGTGTTTGACAATGGCCGGAATAGCTTGTTTTCGAATTTTGCTCAGTCGGCTCAAGAGGAGGCTGCTGGCAGCCCCGAAAAGGAGTTCACCAAGACTCCACCTGCTCCTGCTCCTGTTCCAATTCCAATTTTGGGTAATTTGGATTGGGGAATTGATATCCGATTATCCAATTTGGCTGAGTTTGTAGTGGGTTTTGATTTGAATTTGATGAGTTTAAACCTTTTGATTATTATTATTATTATTATTATTATTATGTTTTCTCTTCTTCATTTGCTTTTTGTGAATGTTCCCTGTGCTGTGGTGTGGTGTGGTGGGTCGGTCTCTGTTTTTGATGGGCTTAACTATACAGGCGGGGCTTAACCATACAGGCGTTAGCTTATTATAATAATTTTTATTATTATTACTGTTTTCTTTCTTTCTTTTTATCTGTGGTTTAATGTTTTTGTTGTTGTTATTATTAGTATTACAACCTTCGGGTTGAAATTGCAATCCTGAGGTTGTTCTGATTCATTTTTTATATCTTCATTTACATAGAAACAATACTGTGGGGGAAGTAGTTCTGGAAATATTCTTTGGATCTAATGGGGTACTCGAGATCCTCAACTAGTAACCTGAAAATGAATGAACACTCCGGTCGGGTATCGGAATCAGCACTCCAACGGATAAGTCGGATAAGTCAGTATACTCTCTCGATTGCTTGTATTTAAGTTCAGCGTACTAATTCTCATATACCTTTCTCTCACTTGGGATCCTCTATTTATATTATTCCCCTTGGGCCTTACGGTCGGGTCCACTCTTGATCCATTGCATGTACATCTACTCAGCTTCTATTCTACTGGTTGAAATGCTGATTATTTTATTCGGCTGGAATGCTGATTATTTTATTCGGCTCTTCAATCGACTAGGATTAATGCTGAATAAAAGTTACGTTCCTGACTGATCTCATACCTACATCCGACACTATCGACCTCCAATTATTCGGCTCCCACAAATACCAACCATTTTCTCAACGTAATGTTATTCTGACTAAATTGTAGAAACTTTATATGCAAGTGTCAAGCTTTTATATTTGTTTCCTCCTCTGTTCGTTATTTAAAAAACCATATTCATTGGTATAGTTTATGTTAGATATGGTGCTTGCTTTGGATGATTTGGGACAACACTTTTTAATTGGCTCACAATTCCAAGTATATTTGTTGCTGCTTCGATTGTGTTAATGAACTTGTACATTAAGAAAACAGAAAAACCATCTTAGTGGTTCATGTATCGCAAACACGCACTGCATTAGTAGTAATTTAGAGGTGTCAAAAATACAGTTCTAGTCCATCGTTGTCATGCCAACGTTTTCTTGATTGATTTTTTAATAATGCAAACCGGGATGAGTCAATAAGGCATTATAAGAGTGACTATTTCTCATTTTTGGTGGTTCTAATTTGACATGGGGTTCCCTTTCTAGTAACATTTCCACATCAGGCTATAGAATTGTAGCAAGTGGAAGTTTTTTGTTCAACTTGGATTGATATGCTTTTTGGTTGACGGTACTCTCAAACTAGTTTCTTAAGAATGATCCTATAGTGACCAAAAGTGTTGTTTAACACCTTCACTGGCTCATCCCTCATTCAAATTTGTCAATTTTGAGTGTTTTCCATGTGTATAGAGGAAATTCGGTCAAAGCCTGGCTGATAGAATTTTGATGTACCTTCCTATGTGCATCTTTTGTCTAGCTCGCTCAATGTTAGACCACGATTATCCAAATGGAGTCTGACTAGGGTATATTTGGTGTGGAGTCTTTTTCGATCATAGGATTTGTCACAACTTATTGTACCACAGGTAGGAATTATAACAGTTGGATAATGGTTTGCAAATAATTTTGGTTCGATCAGGTCAATTTTCAGTATCAATATATCCAAATGTAGGACCCCACTTCCTTATCTTCATGAATTTGGTCATTTGGGTAATCTGTATGGCCCTGGCAAAGGTATAACCATCTTATTTATTCATTTTGTCAAAGTCAGGTTCTTTGTCTAGTTTAACACATCAATTTTCAGCCCTACTCAAGCACAGATCTTAACTAGTGCTAAATTGTTTTGGTTATTGATAGCTTCTATCTGAAATTATCGAAATGTTTAAAAGAAATAAATAAAGGAATAGCTGAAAATATAAGTGCACACGATCATGGTACCTTTTCTATTTCTTTATGTCTCCTCTATGGGAAGAGGGGATGATAAGTGGCGTGGTATACCTGATCTTTTACTCAACAAAACATATGCAAGTTGACAAAACTCCATGTATATACTCTTTGCAACTAAATAGAATGAAATGAAATATTGGTAAGCCGAGGGTGCACTAAAATTATAATTTGGAGTTTCATCAAAATATAATACCTTATTTTCTGTGCCAGAAAAATGTACTTTATAGTTTATATAATGTGGAGTCGTGGTTTTGTTGCGCGCTGGGCTAAGCTTTTGTTCCACAGGTGCAACCTTTTTCGATCATAGGATTTGTCACAACTTATTGTACCACAGGTAGGAATTATAACAGTTGGATAATGGTTTGCAAATAATTTTGGTTCGATCAGGTCAATTTTCAGTATCAATATATCCAAATGTAGGACCCCACTTCCTTATCTTCATGAATTTGGTCATTTGGGTAATCTGTATGGCCCTGGCAAAGGTATAACCATCTTATTTATTCATTTTGTCAAAGTCAGGTTCTTTGTCTAGTTTAACACATCAATTTTCAGCCCTACTCAAGCACAGATCTTAACTAGTGCTAAATTGTTTTGGTTATTGATAGTTTCTATCTGAAATTATCGAAATGTTTAGAAGAAATAAATAAAGGAATAGCTGAAAATATAAGTGCACATGATCATTGTATCTTTTCTATTTCTTTATGTCTCCTCTATGGGAAGATGGGATGATAAGTGGCATGGTTTTTTTTTTTTTTTTGATCGGCAAAACGAAAGACTTTATTGATGCAAGACCATACAAAATGAAGGATACATCAATAAAGAGGAGTTTGGAGCTAATCAAAGCTCCAACCTCCTAGTTGGTGAAAAACCAACAGAGAAAACAAAATAAAACAACACAAAAATCAGAGAAGCACCAACAAATCTGACAACACATTTGCAGCATGAAGAGAAGCTCCAACAAAGATATGCAAGTTGACAAAACTCCATGTATATACTCTTTGCAACTAAATAGAATGAAATGAAATATTGGTAAGCCAAGGGCGCACTAAAATTATAATTTGGAGTTTCATCAAAATATAAATACCTTATTTTCTGCGCCAGAAAAATGTACTTTATAGTTTATATAATGTGGAGTGTGGTTTTGTTGGGCGTTGGGCTAAGCTTTTGTTCCACAGGTGCAACATATGGGACACAACAAACCTCAAGCCCCAAGGTGGGAGCTACTACTTCTCATGAAGGACGTAAGTGGAGACGATTTGGTGCAGATGGCGATGAGGAAACAAACACTTTGCAGTGTCAGTTGATTGAAGTTTTAGAAAAGAATGGGAAAATATTGTGTGCACAACTCAAAGCTCAGAACACCAATTTTCAATTGGATAGGGAGCAGCGAAAAGATCACACAGGTAGTTTAGTTACTGTTCTTAATAAGCTGGCGGATGCTTTGGGAAGAATCGTTGATAAGTTATAGGGAAAAAGATGAAGAAGAGCCATCAAAACAAAGTGTATACAGCAACAAAAATTATATCAGAGCTCAACAGCTTGTAGGGAGGCTGAAGGATTTAGTTATTACATAATTTATGTAAGGATCACATTCAGATGACTTTTCACATAATTTTTTGTCTTCTTTTAGTTTAATCTTCTTTTCTTTTTCTTTTTTCCCTCCCTTTTTTGTGGCTTATTGCCATCATAGGGTGGTAGTAAAGAGAATAAATCATGGAAATTTGGGAGAGCTTGTAGGGAGGCTGAAGGAATTAGTTATTATATAATTTATGTAAGGATCACATTCAGATGACTTTTCACATAATTTTTTGTCTTCTTTTAGTTTAATCTTCTTTTCTTTTTCTTTTTTCCCTCCCTTTTTTGTGGCTTATTGCCATCATAGGGTGGTAGTAAAGAGAATAAATCATGGAAATTTGGGAGTTACCAGCTTTTACGTTTTCTTTTTTCATGTCATGCAATTCAAGTTGATGTCAAGGTTCTACTGTACAGATTATTTCGAGCTACGTATGTGTTGTTTTGAGCAATTTTATTGAAGCGGATAAAAAAAATGTGTTGTTTGAGCTCCGATTCACTTGAAAGGCTCAAAAGTCTTAATACTTTGATATTAGTTAAGGGTATAAGTTGATGTCAAATCGGAGAATATCGTCTTAATTGCGAGAGGAATAAGACTCTCATGCAAGAGTTTTGGCAGACACATGATTAATGGCTGCGTAGATAGATCAGAAAACATTTCAATGCAGAATAAACCAAATTACAGTTCTCTGTTTAATTTTTCTCTAAACCAACTAATAACAACCATAAGGGTGAAAATACGAGCTAAATTCAACCATAAGAATGAGATTGGAGAGGTCAAACCTTGTTAATAAGGCTGTGTAAAATATAACCCAATTTGCTAAATTACACAAATCTATATCAATCCGTCCACTAACTGTGGATTAGTTTGTTCTGTAGTTTGAAATTTATAATCCACCTTCAAAATTGTTTCACTCCACTATACATATATGAAAAATATTATATAAATTATTATCATATATTATATGCGAATGTATGACAATAGTTTAAAATTATTTTTCAATCAATTAATAAATTGAAACTGCTCAAACTGCGATTGATTATTGACCAATCTGTCATTTATAATTTTACAGAAAATCACACCGCACACACACCCGTAATTGTTAATATAGGTCTTGCACGTACGTTAATTTTGGTTTAAATATTAATGTGCGAAAATGGCAAGGTTTTAAAAGATTCAAATCTGTGTAATTATTGGCAAGTCAAGTGTATTTTGATTTAGTTTCCAATGTTAATATGTATAGCAATCTAATCATATTTAATAGATATACATACATATTTTTTGATTATTAGACAAGTTAATCTTTTGCTCTATAAAGCTCGTGAAAGAGAGAACCCCCATACCTATTCTTTTGTGTTCTAGGTTTGAGAAGCTGGAGAGAGAGAGAGAGAGAGAGAGAGAAGCTATTAAAGCTAAGGTACTTCTTTTTCATTATTGAACTTCTCTCTTTTTTTTTTTTTTCCTTTTTTAATTATATTTCTTAGTAAAGGCTCTCTTTTTTTTTCTTCTTTTTTTTTCAATTATGTTTTTTTAATAAAAAGGAACCTCCTGATGGCTTTTCCATTGCGTGATCTTGCCTTTATTATATATGTTACACAATTGTGGTTTATAAACTTCTATCTCCCACCATGACTGTGTACTGATTGGTTTTCTAAACATTGGCAAGATACTCTACATTCTGATTTATTTATTTACTTATTCTGTTTTCTAGTCATGAATTTCATAGCTTTCCATCTTTTATTAGTTTTTCTGTTCAATAAACTTTTAACAGTAGATAAAGGAGTTATATATATATATATATATATAGTTAGTTAGGGAGATACATCTTCAAAAAGGTGCACATGGTATACCTTTCATAATTTGTTTGCAAAATTTTATAATTTAAATACAAACTATTGTAACTTTTTCACTACAAAAGTTCTAACTTTTTTTTTTTTCTCACTAAAAAATATCATAACAAAATCACAAAATGTCATAATAAAAGTCACAAAGTGTCACAATATTATCATTCTAAATTTTAGGATGAACATCATAAATTCAATATTCATAAATTCACTACAAAATATCATAACACACATTATAAACAATCATATCGTTTATCATAAAAAAATCATAATTTTTTTACGATATGTATCATTTTAAAAGATACACATTGTAAATTTCTCCATATATTTATGACCATATTAGAAAATACAACTAAATAGCATAATTTTTATTTTATTTTATTTTATTATGTTCACTTTGTAAAATCCCGTGCATCGCACGGGTGACTACTAGTATAATATATAAGCAAAAGAGAATTTCTAATGAAAAGGTATATCAAAACTCCACAAGCACAATCTAAATTTGTTGAATTTTCAATTTTAAAAAATAATTAATAAATCATCCTCTCAAACACATATATATGATTTTGCTCATTTTTAATTTTAAATAATGAATTACCAATCCATTGGGCCATCTTTTAAAAATCATTGCCTAAAATTTTTCATTCCCTACAATGAAATAAGGAAAGAACAATTATTTGTGAGGGAAACACATACACGGTTTTGTAAACTTTCTAATCAAAATAAATATATTACAACTTTCTAATTTATTGCTGATGACAGCCTTGATTTTGGTCTTCACACATTGGACAAGTCTTGTGCTTTGGTTAAGTTTGTTTCTCTCTAATTAATTTGTGGTTTCTCTCCATATACCTTCACTGCACCCACAAACATAATTATACTTCTCCCATAAACAGATTCTCTCTCTCAACAGGTTAGTCAATTCTATCACCACACATACATAATACACAAATCTCTTATAAATTATTTGTATGTATATATTATTTTGATTTGCCAGGGAGGCTTGCAAATCCCTTTGCTATAATGGGGGTTTTCTTTTTTGTTCTTTTTTTCCCTGTTTTTTTGTTCTTTCTTTCTTTTTCTTTTTTTTGGGTCAACTGTGTAACTATTGTGGTATATGAATTTCATTAACATCATACAAGGGTTATGGATTTGTCTAAATGTGTAAATAATTTATAAAGCTACAATGGATATATATGCATATAAATTATTTATATTGTGATGTGGTTTTGCTTTTATATTCAAATCGTATGATATATTATTTATTGTTTTTGTAACTAAATAAAATAGAATGATCATTGAGTGAACCAAACACTACCTAATTCTATGAACATTGATATGTGCTTGAGAGATTAAATAAAAAATTAAGGAAATTACATATTTTTTATCTTTAAAATTTTAATTTGTAAACACTTTTTTTTTTTTAGTTCATGCAACCTATGATTTATGGTTGATTTTTTCTTTTTATAGTTCTAAACTACACAAATTTCTTTTTGTCCATGTGTAAAATATCACTTTGCTATTTTTCAAAAAGTTGAAAAAAAATTAATAAAAATGCCAAAAATATATATACAATTTTTTTATTTTGTTTATAAAAAATATTCAAAAAATATTTCCTAAAAAAATAAATAAATAAATGAGCTAAATGACTCATGAGATGAGCAACAACCATAACAATTTGTTAAGAATTGGATTGTTGGCTTAGTAATCGATCCAATTTCGATTTCTAATCTACAAAAAATTACAATTCAAGATATAAAATCAAAAATATTATCAGAACATGGGAAGTACAACTCATGGGCAGGGTATAACTCAAAAACAGGGGTGCAAAGTCACATCTCTTAATGTTTGTGTATTTTTTAGAAGAATTATAGCTTTGTGGAGCAAACAAAACAAAAAATACACAAACATTGAGGGGTGTGACTTTGCACCCCTGTTTTTGAGTTACACCCCGCCCAAGAGTTGTACTTCCCATGTTCTGCTAATATTTTTGATTTTATATCTTGAATTGTAATTTTCTCTCGATTAGAAGTCGAATCTAGAACAATTATTAAGCCAACAATTCAATTCTTATCAAATTGTTATGGTTGTTGCTCAACTCATGAGTCATTTAGCTCATTTATTTAGTAAATATTTTTTGAATATTTTTTATAAACAAAATAAAAAAATTGTATATATATTTTTGGCATTTTTATTAATTTTTTTCAACTTTTTGAAAAATAGCAAAGTGATATTTTGCACATGGACAAAAAGAAATTTGTATAGTTTAGAACTATAAAAAGAAAAAATCAACCATAAATCATAGGTTGCATGAACTATAAAAAAAAATAAAAAAAATAAAAAGTTTACAAATTAAAATTTTAAAGATAAAAAATATGTATTTTCCTTAATTTTTTATTTAATCTCTCTAGCACATATCAATGTTCATAGAATTAGGTAGTGTTTGGTTCACTCAATGATCATTCTATTATATTTAGTTACAAAAATAATAAATAATATATCATACAATTTAAATATAAAAGAAAAACCACATCACAATATAAATAATTTATATCCATATATATCCATTGTAGCTTTATAAATTATTTACACATTTAGACAAATCCATAACCCTTGTATGATGTTAATGAAATTCATATACCACAATAGTTACACAGTTGACCAAAAAAAAAAAAAAAGAAAGAACAAAAAAGAAAACCCACATTGTAGCAAAGGGATTTGCAAGTCTCCCGGAAAATCAAAATAATATATACATACAAATAATTTATAAGAGATTTGTGTATTATGTATGTGTGGTGATAGAATTGACTAACCTGTTGAGAGTGAGAGAGAATCTGTTCATGGGAGAAGTATAATTATGTTTGTGGGTGCCTTGAAGGTATATGGAGAGAAACCACAAATTAATTACTGAGAAACAAACTCAACCAAAGCACAAAACTTGTCCAATGTGTGAAG